TCTCTTGCTTTAATTAGGATCTGGAAGCAATGAAGTTTTCTGCCACTATTGCATTTGCATAGAGTCTTCCAATGGAGCTGTCTTAAATGGTTAGATGCTTTCTGAGCTCTGCCCAACAAAAAACAGAATACAGGCAGTTGAAATCCCACTGCAAGGGAGATTTCACAGACAAAATGGGTCAGATTTGCTCTAACTTGGTCCAGTGAAGTGCAGGTTGTGGCCTATAAAGCCCTATACATCTCAGATCCAGACTGTTTGGTAGATCACACCTCTCTGTATGGACCTACCTATGTCCTAAGATCCTCAGGAAAGGCCTATCTCTCAGACCCACTACTGTTGCAAACTTGGTTGGTGATTACAAGAGAACTTTCTCAGTGGCTGCCCCTCAACTCCTTGCCCAGGGAAGCCAGAAGGGCCCCCTCCTTGCTGTCCTTTTTATTCAGGCAAGTTTTTAAGAGTTCTTATGTGATGTTTTGTGTATTTTAAATAGGGTTTGATGCTTTTAATTATTCATTTTTAAATAGTACTATTAGGTGCTTTAGGTATTTTGGACTTCAACTCCCAGAAAGAGGAATGGATAAGTGCATCAGGTACTAATATAATTATTTCTGAATATTTTATTGCATCCTTAATTGCCATTGAGTATGGGACCTGATGAGAAGAATGAAAACTCCCCCTAAAGGCTTCTTTTTGAATATAACAATAGATTCACAAAGGTTTCCTGGGCATTAGGTCAGTGTAAAGCAAAAAGAGAGAAAAGACAGAGACTTTGGATAGCATGGGTGCAAACTGCTGTGACTTTTAATGTTTCTCAGTGTATCCATGTTTTCTTTCACTCTTTACTGATTGCTATTGAATTCCTGGTGGATTCTTTTTCTCGGGCATATGTTCAATGAGTCATTCAAATTGAATTACTTTTCTGGCTTCCTCTCAACTTGCTCTCTCCACAGTGTAACACACCCCTTGCCTTGCCTAAAGAGCCTTCCCCAGGCTCTCATTGTTTAAAGGTTACACAATTTTGTGGCACTTAAGTGTGTTGTTCTGGACACTATTCATCAAGGTCAATTGTACTAAGCCATTCCAAAACCCTAGTGAACAGATTCTCTTTGCATGTTTTCTTTTTGCTCACTCGCTCTTTTTTAAACCACTATATTAAATCGACTCATTTATTAAATACAAGTTAAATAGAACATTGTAAAAACCTATCAAAAATGTTGAAAGTGTAAGTACTAGAAGCATGATTTCTGAATTATTCTGGCTGATGTGAACATATCCTTCTACTTTGATGATATTATTATTATTATTATTATTATTATTATTATTTACTGATTTTTCTTTAAATATTGTTGTTTTAATGATATTTTGCATTATTTGTTAATATTATAATTATTAGGCATCACAGAAGAACACCAATATTTAGTTTTCACTAAAGTTGTTCCCAAAACTGTTCTAATATAATCTTACCAAGTTAATAAATAAACAAATCAAAGCTTGTTTTTTTTAACCTTTTAATAAAAAAAATTCTCCATTTCATAAGAACATTGGTGTCTAGGGTTGTAATCTTATAGTTACATACAACTAATATGATGTTCTGCTCCAATAGCCATTAACTAGTTAGTTCAGCAAATTAAAGTAGTGTTGCTATCATATATGTCTTCTCCTTTTTACTCTGTTAAAATTCCTTGTTGTAAAAGAAGACTGTTAATCAGAAAATATTGAGCATAATGCAATCGCAATGTATTGCTACGCACAATTGTTATGTCCACCCCACAGTAAATGTAAACAAGTCAACCTCTTTCAAATTTCTGGTTTTTGGCATTATAATCATAATATAGGACTGCAGGGATTAGATTCAAAGACAGCTGGATTTCAGTATGTGGAGGGATTTTGTTGTACCATTGAGTTTAACTGAGAAAATGAAGCTGGTAGCATAAGGGCACTTCATGCATCTGAGAAAATATAGTCTATAAAAGCTTATGCCACAAACTTTGTTCTCTTATATAGTCTCAAAAATGCCACAAGATCCCTTTACATACTGTTATATCACTACTTTAAATGTGCTCTTTCCTGCTCCTGTTGAGATCAAAACAAATTAGTCTAGATCTGAGATCCAGAGTGTTGTCATGGATTAGAACGTAAAAGCTGGACTAGGACACCTGGTGACAAGGATTGACATCCCTGGTCAATAATATAAACCCACCTGACTTTGGGTAAGTCACAGTAATTCAGTAGAAGAGGAAGGCAATGACAATTCGCTCTGGAAAACATTGTCAAGAAAACCCTATGATAGGTCAGCTGCAGGGCCACCATAAATTGGAAACAACTTGACACATATATTAAAATGAACAAATTAGAGAATTATAGTGGCTATAGTATAACCAATTATGGAAAAAATCTAATAGGGAAAAAGAACAAGACTCATATCTTATTTAAGTGATTACAACACCACTTCATCTTCATCCCCTATCTCCAAGGGAGCACCTACTCCCAGGATAACACTACTGAATACTTAATCAGGTTACTTTACTAGATGAGAAACAGTAAGTTCTTGAGTTGCAAACCAAGCTACAAGGTTATCCGGAAAGTAAGGTTACAAGACACATAGCTCTTGCAGGGAATTTTTGCAAGGAAGTTGGTATCACTGCTGTGTAGCAGGAAGCCAGTGGAAGTGAACGAGCAGTGGCAGTAACCAGTAGCCCATCGACAGGCATTGTGGTGAAGGTTAGAGATGAGCATCCTCATCCCATTTCTCACCAAGTGCAAAGTTCGCACTGTGATATGCTACCTAAATGCTAAGGGCATAAACACCGCTGCTATTCATTGCAAGAAAAATTGTAGCGTCAATGTTTTGGGTCAGAAAGGGGGTTCTGCTCGTTGTTGGAAAGAGGTGAAACAATCAATGGTGCAAGATATTGTGAGACAATGGAGAAAATTTGCAGGGCCATCCAAACATCTTGTAACCTTACTTTCCGGATATCCCTTCTATATAGACATTTTGAAGACCTAGTAACTGGCCTGAGTGAAAGTTACCAAAAGTGGAGCTCATAAATTTATATTTATAGATTTTTGTCAGTAGATATAATCTTTGTGCAATAGAAGGACTTAAGTGATGTTGATAGGATTGAAATGAGAGTAGCCATTTTGGGATGGAAATCAGTAATAATATGGTTTAGTTTCCAAATCCCTGTGTGTACACTGAAGACATATACAGAGCTAGTTACCAATTCCATTTTTCATCTGAGAACATATTGATAACTCCTACTGACAATATACTTCAGCTGAGAAGCTTTTGTGAGTTGGGGGGGGGAGTACATATGGCTGGAGCTGGCAGTGTTGTCTTGCAAGAGGAACTTGCACAGCAGGGTCTTTGGATCCACATTGATGCATTTCACTTCTTTGACTTGGCAAACTATCTCATGCAGAAAAGAAGGTAGGGGAGAACAGAAGAATGCTTTGCAAACTTTTATCCACAGCTGGAGTCAATAGATGTTTTTTTCTTTCCTCCCTTTGTACAATAAATAACAAGGTTTGGAAGTTTCACAAGACACATGGAATGATAGTTTTTTTGTCATCTGGCTGAAACAAAATTCTCTAGGTTTGAGCCGTAATTAACTATTTTTAAAAAATGAGCTACAAGGGCTTCATACAAGTATGCAACACATGGTTATGAGAGGCTGCTCCCACTTGGGGTGTTCTTTCATTAATAAATCATGGCTCTTCCATGTCTAGCAGATACAGTTTACTTTCCATGCTTTTGGAGATATTGCTTTTTGTTTGTATCTTTGTTTATATCTTCACCCAATTATGCTCCATTCACTTCAGAAAATGTAACATAGCTGATACCATCATATGTGGGTGAGTCCAATTTACTTGTGATAAATTGGGCAAGAAGAGGGGAGCTCAAAGTAGCCCTTTAACAGAGATTTAGTCTGGGTGTGTATGTACCTTCAAGTTTACAGTCAACTTACAGCAACCCAAATTAATTTAATATGGTTTTCTTAGTAAAATAATATATAGAGGGCTTTTTCCCAGTTCCTCTAAAACAGACCTGTTATTTGTTGGTCTCTCATTAAAATATTAAGCAAAGCTGACCCCACTTAACTTCCAGGATAAAAAAAAGCATTTTAATAATAATTGAAATACTGTTTTTCTAAACAATATCAACAGATTTATGAAGGATACCCCCTCCACACACACACACACGCTATGATTAGATTACTATGTGCTGCTGATATCTAGAAGATTCACTAGCCTCACATCACTTTTATCTCTTTCAGAAAAAACAAAGGATCAGTACATACATTGAGTGGTTTCACTGAAATGAAACAGAACAGTCCTTCATGAAAAATGGAAACATTTCTAGTCATCAATATGTTTAAAAATGCAGAAGAAAATGCAGTCAAAAGGAGATCATATTTTTAAGCAACATATATCACCACTTTTCTTGTACTAGTGTTTAATACGTTAACAAAAACTCACAGCGTCAAAAATAACTGCATGATACATGATTCTAGAACACATTTGAATATTTTAAAGTCATATACAATTGTATATATTTACGTAGTAAGAGTTCCATTCCTAAAGGGAGAACATAATATAAACATGGTATCATAACAAGAATGCATGTGAGGTTCCCCATTCTGCAACAGAAATATTATATAGGGTATTTCCTCCATGTAGGCAAAAATATAACAGATGATAATTCAGGAAGGGGCCACAGCACGATGGTGGAACACATTATTTGCTTGGAGATCCCAAGTTAAATCTCGGCATTCTCATGATAGAGTTAGGATAACCCCTGCCTGAAACGGAGAACAGCCATGGATGGTCAGTGTAGACAATACTAAACTAGACATATTATATTTAGCATATGATTAGCTAGGCACATTTGTATACTTCAGTCCAGGAAGTGCATTCCTTGTTTTAACAGCCTGCATAGCATCAATTCTTTGACCTTTTGCTGTCAAAAAAGAAAGCTCTCCTAGCCAAATAAAAGTGTGTTTTTCAAAATTAGGGTCCTTTCAGACAAGCAGAATTAAAGTGATATAGCTGTTAACTGCTGTGTATATGGACTCCTGAGGTTTGGGTTTTTATGAGGTACAACTGTCCGGCTGAGAAGTCTAAATGCCTTTCTCCACACTGCAAATTCCTAGAATCCACAAGATGGAACTATGACAGTCAAAGTGGAATCATACTATTATAATTGTTTAGTGTAAAAGGGTCTCTGGCCACTCTATCAACACACACCCCGCCTCTAAGCCATGCATACCTTGGCATTATTAGCAGTCTATGTGGCCTTTGGAGTTTTCCAGTGCAAAAAATTGGACATTGGACCCTGGACCTTGTTTCTTGTTGTAGTGAGAACAAAGGTCTAAGCAATGGATGCCTACTAAGGGGAGGGGAAGCAAAAGCAAACTAAATCTTTGGTGTCGTCTACATTCTTTAGTTATAGAACCCAATCCAGTACTAACAGAATACAGAGGGGATGCCATGATCATGTGCCCTAGGGAATGTGGTTGAAAGAAAACAATTGGGAAGCAAGTCACAGTGGGAGTTGGTAGCCAAATGATAAACTGCAGGCCATCACAATTTTTACAAAACTTAAGTTTGTAGAGCCAGATGTCAAGACCAGGAAACCGAGTGCCTGCTCCAAAAAGGATGGTGTCAACAACTAATCCACGACAAATTCCAGAAAGTCTATTTATGACAGGAGAAGTTGTGCAGAGATCTATCACAGTAGAGGAACATTGGGAAGCAGAAGCCTGAATAAAGAGCTGGTCAAGAATACAAGAAAAGCAGGAAAGGTGGAGTTTTAATGATATAAGCAATACTTAATCAATACCTGGCAGGATCTGCACCCAAATTACTCTTGACTAAAGGTTTACAGCTCTACAACAGGAGGGAAGTAGCTGCTGTGACCACTGTGGAACATTGCAGAGTTGTAAGGACTTCCTGAGAAGATGTAGCCCTATGTATAGCTTCCCCATATGATGACACACAAGTGCTACTAATTACAGAATTTCTTTAATACCAAAGAATTTCTGATTCTATAGTGACTATCTACCCAACTCATTTTAAAACCTTAATGTTACTCCTAAGCAATGATAACTCTTTCTGGCCACTGATTTCTCCATCTTACACTATGGCTGCCTCTGATTCAGTTGTTGATGAACCTTTAACATTTGATACTAGATTAGGAGTTCATATAGTATCTGAACCCATAAACAGAGTCTTATGTTTAAATGGCTGTTGCATGAGCTCCAAGCAACAGGTTCACCTATAAGACCATTTCAGGAAAGTATTTCATGTAAGTCAATTCACTTCTGATTTTGCCTAGCACAGATGAGCGATCACAGTTCACAAGTCAAACCCAGGTTCCAAGAGCTCTCAATACTACGTGTTCTGCCCCCCCCCCCCCCCGGCAAAAGTGGCAGGACAAGATTTGCAACTTGGAACAACTGCCCCCTTCTTTTTCCCTATGCAGTTAGATGACATTATAATGACTGGCTAAGACTCAGCCCCAAGACTCAACTAGTTCTTGAAGCACAACTGTGCCTGGCTTTACTCTCCTTTGTGCTCAGCCAGAAAGCGACATATCATTTAACTAGCAAGAGGTCAGTGAAGTGGGGATCTAGCTGATACCCCTAAAACTGAATCTTCAGTCTAGCATGTTCCTCATTTTAATTCATTCTGTTTCTTCAGCCATCAATTATCTCATTTTGCTTACATTATGTCCCAAGTGCAAATGATTCCATTATCCTGGGAGGAACAAGTCAGCAATTCTACATAGGATCTATCTCATGAAATGCATGCATGGAAGCAGTCCAATGTTTGTTTCATCAGTTATGCAAGAGTAATTGTCAATTTAACTTATTGTCAAACGTAATTAGAAACTACAAAACGATTTCTTTAGTAAGGTCAGTGTGACCCATGCCAATTGAGTCATAGAATTATATTACTGGAAGGAGTCCCACAGGCTATCAAGTCCAACCCCCCACTCAGTACAGGAAATCCAGTTAGGTAGATATATACTTCCAAGTAGGAAAATTCGAAGACTCATAGGGCAAATGTTGAAGAATGATTCCACATTATGGTCATATAGACTAGGAATTAACTCAATGGGCTGATGCTAAGAAAATGTAACAAAAATAATCACATCTATTTCAGTTCATGAAGGTATAGTCTCCCAGCCTTTACTTGGATCACATAGATAAATGGATATGTTAGCTAGAATTTCTTTTAGAATAAGCACATATTTTAGATTTAGGACTGAAAACTGGATTCATATTTCCAACTACTGGTAAATTGAGCTTCTGACACCTGTTGTCTCTTTTACAAAATTGAGGAGGATATAATGTCTACCAGCGTAACTGTAAACATTACTGAGCTAATATATGGAAAATGTTTTGCACATTCTGAAATAGGGACTGGCAAACAACAGATCTGAATCTACTGGATCATTGCATAATGTGCTGCTGCTATGATGCAGCAAAGGTTTTGCTTAGACAACTATCATATGTTATAAAAGCCTTCTCTCCCACTAAATTACTGTGTTAGACTCTCATATCTATGATATAGCTTCTGGAAACAACCAGTTGCAACTTCTGATGTACTATTTTGCACCTGGCTTTAACCATCTTCAAAACTCTATTACCACCACTATTTTACATTTAGTTCTAGTTGGTGGACTTTGAAGACTTTGGAAATTTAAAAACATTGATTTGCCAATGAAATTAATGAAAATATGCATATTTTTACCAGAGTAAATACTTCTATAAGAGGAAAACATTTCATGGAACGGTGAATGCAAGAAATAAACAGAAGCTATAAAGCCAATCGCTTATAGTAGTTACACAGATGTGATATTGTCTTCAGCTTCTTTATCTCCCAGGTTAATGCTGCCTGTAATTGTAGATTCTTCACGAGCTGCAGTGTGGTTTAGTTTGTTTTTTGAACAATGTGGTATTTGACCAAAAAAGTACATATAAATCCATGGATTAACACAGCTATTGAGATTTGCTAGGAGCATAAGAATGGCTATTACTGGACCTGAAACAAGGAAAAATTATGTCATTCACAGAGAACAGAGAAATGTGTTATTATTAATTATAATCAATAATGCCTCCCTTGATCTTAAACCAGTGATTTCATTGAAAGTTTGCTTGCATTCTGAAGTCTTTCCCAAATGTCTTTAGAACGATTCTGTCACAATTTTAAAACATACAACTCAGAATATTAGGCATATCAATACTGCTGTTTTACATGCATCATAGCCTGTTTTCATAGTTAGCTGGAAATTTTTCAGATTGGCATATGTTATGGAGTCTTTTCATCTGTTTCATAAAATAATTCTTTACTGAGTATACCAGAAATAAAGAGTCAAAAAGGTTACTTTTAGAGGTCAGTTTGATATCTGTAGTTCCAAATGGCTGACAACTGCTACGATCACAAAAAATAACTTTATTTGATCATTTCATGAGATTATTCTTTAATTCTTGAAAATTATCAATTTGGTGCTTTGTAACATATCTCCCTTTTATCTACGCTGCTGTTATCTTAGCAGTCATAAGCCGTGTGTTCATTCTCCAATACTATTCAGTGGGGCAATATTTCAGAAACTACTAAGTCAATTTTAAAGTTGGAATTATCACACCAAAGGACTGGCTGTCCCTCATTATGTTACAAGCAAAATGAACTGTAGTTATATCTCCATTACTGGGGAAATGAACAACATATAACTATGCATCGTCGAAGGCTTTCATTGCCAGAATTAGTGGGGTGTGTGCTTTCCAGACTGTATGGCCATGGTCATACAGCCTGGAAACACACACAACAATCCAACATGTAACTACTTTGCAACTAATCTGTACCTAATTGTTTCCAGGTTTGGAAGAAAATGCTTAAGTTCTTCAAAGGTTAAATTTATTTCATATGAAGTTCAAATCATGAACACAAGATCCATTAATGAATATATGCTATATATTTTTTAAACTTGGTTTGCCAATGATCTCTTTAACATGTGTATGATAACCTCCTGTATTTTTTCTGGTAGCAAATTCTGTTCAAATTAAGTATCTTCTCTTAAGAAAAAATGTCCTTGTAAACTGTCAAATAGAATGTAGTTGATAGTTTTAAAATCATTTGGAGAAAGTTTTCTCTTACCTTCAGTCCTAGAATCACTGGGGTGCCATGCAGTCCACAACTGTGCAATGAAGAAAGGTGACCAACAGAAGACATAAGCCACAACTATCACCACTGTCATCTTTATAGTCTTGATCATAGCCTTTGACATCCTGTTTGCGTTGCTTGGCTGGGAAGGCATCATTTGCTTCTGATTTGTCATTTCAAATTCATGGTGGCTTGCCATATTCATTTGGACTGTTCTACAGATCATAACATGGCATATGATGAGAAGAGCTGCAGGAAGAAAGAGAATAGCTATAGAAATCCAAGTCACATAACCCTTTGCGCCCCAGGGTTCAATGAAGTTAGCTTGGCAATCAAATACGCCTGGTGATACTTCTGTCTTCTGAAAGATAAATACTTGGGGAACACTAAAGACCAGAGAGATAAACCAACTGGTACAGATAGAAACATTCCACAGGGCACCCTTCTTTTGGAAAGATGTCATAGGATAGCACACTGCTTGGCATCTGTCCATTGCCATAACAACAATCATATAAGTAGAGGCAAACATGCTCAGTAGCTGGAGATAACAAATGGTTCGGCACAGGATGTCTGGACCCTTGAAATCATCTGTAATTTTCCAAAAGAGCTGAGGAAGAACTAGAAAAAATGCAACCATCAGGTCTGCAAGGCTCAGGTGAAGCAGAAACACATATATTCTTGACAGTTTTGTTCGACTCCTCCACAAAACCAATATGAGGATAAAGTTGCCCACAGCTGCAGCCATAAATATGACTCCAAGTACAGCAATTTCTACTTGAGCTAACTGTTCATCTCTTGGTTGTCTTTCAGGCAGAGCAGACACATTTGTTGAGTTGGAAAAGCTGTGAAGTAAAAGTTGTCCATGTTGACTGATGTTATCTTGTGAAAATGAGAAATTCTCCATAGTGCACAAGAACTATTGGTTTTGACAGTGTAAACTAACTTTGCCGCATCGGAGGATAAGCCAATGCATTCACTGCCAGTTATACAGTTCTGATGCACATCGAAACATATGGATTCACGAATCGGTGAATTGAAGTCTCAATATAATTCTTTCTCATGTCCTTTGATGGGAGAAAGGAGGGTAAAGTTTTGCACTCTGAGCAAATAGTTTTTTGTAACTTGAGAAGCAGTAGTTTCCTTAGCCAAGAGGAAAGTCAGAAAAAAAATATTTAAATGCACGTGTAAAAAAAATGGCTTGAAGAAAAGTCACACCCCTTGTTTCCATATAAATCCAGAAATGATCGCAGCCAAATTATATTTTTATTGTAAGACTTTTGCCAAGTATCTGCGTGACAATCGTGTTCCTTAATTCACATCCATTCCTTTTATCAGATGTATGTGGAAAAGCTCTATTCTTGGGAATGGATTTTTCATCATAAAAGTTTCTTGGACTCCTGTTTGATGAGAGAGGAGGTTTAAAATTGAGTTATTCAACAAGGGTTATTCAGCCCCATAAATTTGCCTCCCCCTTCAAAGTGAGTGCCTTTTACTCTGAAAGAGAAAAATATCTCTATACATAACCCTTCTCTTCACTTCCATTCCATTTACCCAGCTTCCCCCCCCCCCCCCAAAGTAAAGGTTATAACAGAACCTTCTTGTAACAGAAAAGAAATAGCTCTATAATGTATTGTAGGACAATGCATTGTTCACATGGGAAAAAAGAATACAGTGAGAAATACAAAAATGAGACTGAAAAGTAGCAGTTAGCACTGTTTGCCATTTTGCTAGCTAAAGCTGTAACATTGCTGAAACATTTATAAAAAGCCATCCAGGCTTTTTATTCTCTTGCTATGGGCTTCAGTACTTTACAGAAGAGCAACTACCTACTGTCAGGAGGACATCATTGTTTCCCACATTTACATTTCTAAGATGTATTCAGAAAATGTTTAAATTTGCACCAAAACAAAAACAAAACCTCAAACAAACATAGGAATACATTACCCTTTTATGCAGTCATGATTTCTACTTCTGCATAGAATCTTTGCTTCATAGTATGCAAGAATTAGAAACAAAGAGATGTTTAGTTGTGTCTTATAATACATAATATGCAGACTGGGGCTTCTGTTATTTGCAAGGGGGAAATGTGTACCATCCTTAAATGTCTCTCCTCTTAGCTTTGTCATAAACATCACATAGAAAGAAAATTGTCCAGAATGCGCAGTCCCTTAATCCCATTTCTCACTAGGTTAAGGTACTTAATACATGAAAATCTTGCAATAAATACCTCAAGTAGTTTTTCAATATTCATTAAAAGGCTTTTGATACTTACTTAGCTTGCAGGCATTGCTAAGTCCAGTTAATTACTGCTTATAATGGGAAATGGAGCCTTCAAAGCAAACATTTCCTCAGCCCTTTTAAATCTGCATAGCACTGACTGAGTAGCTGGAAGCTACCCCCCACCCCCACCCTTTGATCCTAGAAAGAAAGGGATGTGTATTTCGGTCATCACAAACATTCTGTGTCAGGTTGACTTCTACTTGGGTCAACGTGCTTCCAAACCTACCTCTTCAGTTATATTCATGTGAAGTTTACAAGCAATTAATATGCTTTTTAAGATCCACATTCTCCTAAAAAGGGGAGAAAAGGCAGAATCTATTTCAAGAATATAATGCAAATGCATTCTTTTAACGTGTTTTATCCCTCTCTTTTACAGAGATGTCAATATTTATAGTGACTGCACTTACAAAGAAAAGTTCCTGAAGTTAGAAAAGCAGACGATTTGGCAGACATGCTATATATTGTAAAATTCTTATATTTGCAGGTGATGTTTGCACCTACAATATATTTTCCATCAACTTTTCTCCAAATGTTCCTAGGGAAAAATATTGTTTAGCTTCTGTTTCAGATCTCTACATTATTTCAAACAGCAGTGCTGTGGAATTTGAAGAGGCACAAATGGAGGGTGAGTGGGAGAAATGTGCCAAGAGGAAGGCACATCAAGCCAACCTTGACCGGGACCGCCTTCCACCTGGAAACCAATGCCCTGTAGAAGAGCATGCGGGTCAAGAATAGGGCTCTACAGTCACCTACGTTTCCAACGCCAAGATCCTACACTTGGAAGGCCATCATACTTGGACAACAAGGGATCGGCCAAGTATTACAAAAATACAAAACCAAATTCTGCAGGCTCTTCAATTAGGTTATCATTGATTTCGATCCCCCTTTTCAGGGGATATATGCTGTTATATGTAGCCAAAACTGCAGTATCCCTACATGAAAAAAGTCTTTTAAGGGGAAACCCCACAAAAAATCCTAAGACTTAATTAGGGCATGTAATTATCATCAATTAAGACACAGCACAGCATAGTGGTTGTGGTGTTCCAACCAGGATTGGAATCCCTGCTCAGTCATGGAAACCCACTGGGCGATATTGGAAAATCATATCTTCTCAGTTGAAGAGAAAAGCAATGGTGAACTTGTTCTGAACAAATTTTGCAAAGAAAACCTTAGGATAGGGGCACCATAAGTCAGTCACATTGAAGGCACTTAGCAAAGTTCATTGTTGAAAATTGGGTTATAAACTGTCAATCTTAAATTATTCTTATGAACAAAATAATAACCTCACTCCTCAGAAGGCATGTAGGTGACTTTGGAGGGCAATGTGGATGAATGGGCTTCTGCCAATTGCCAGAGTAAGATGTGACTTGTGCTGGTGTAGATAAGTGATCCCCTCTTGAGAGGCTTGAGGCCCTTCCAGGCAGGCTCTATATCCCAGGATCTGATCCCAGGTTTTCTGTTTATCCCAGATTATCTGGCAACATGGACTCATACAATCCAGTCTGAAGCAGAAAATCTGGGATCAGATCTTGGGATATATGGCCCTTCAACACTGCCCTTTTATTCCTGAATCTGATCCCAGATTATCTGTTTATCCCGTTATTTGCCAGTGGGGACTCATATATTCCAGTTTCAAGCAAATAATCTGGGATCAGATCCTGGGATAAAGGGCAATGTGGAAGGATCCTGTGAAGCAGTGAGATGTGACCCTGATGTCAAAAGACGTGTGCTGTCTCCCAAAAGTGGAGATATATTATGCAACAGAGTGGTTAACAACCATGACTTATTTCTTCTGTTCGTGATGGAACAAATCATAGACCCCTTCTACACTGCCATACAATCCAGATTATCAAAGCAGATATTCTACATGTGGACTCATATCTTCCACAAAGCAGATAATCCACATTACCTGCTTTGAATTGGATTATTTTAGTCTACACTGCCATATACTCCAGGTCAAAGCAGATAATCTGGATTTTATATGGCATTGTAGAAGGGGCCATAGTGCCAGATGTAGGTTTCAACATAATAAAAAGACAATGGGTAGGATGGTAAAGGTGTTTGGAGCCCTCCTCTGCCATACTTCAGTGATCCAAGGGAGCAAAGATGATTGTTAAACATTACTCAGATCCTTCCCTACCATCTTGTTCGCCTTTCTCCCAAACCCCTATCATTGCTGCCACCTCTTTGAATGTTGCCTATACCCTCTGCATTCCCCTAGTGACATCACAGGATCCTTAAGTGGAAATGAGTGTGTTTTTCTGAAATTTGTTATGCAGAGGAAAGTGGAACGCAAACACAATCAGATATACATTCTGGACTTCAATAAAGATGATTGCACTAAGGTTAGGAAAACAATGGGAGAATTTATTTGGTCAGAAATGCTGAAAGGAAATGCTGCATTTGGTTTCCTAAATGTGATACAATGAATGTGCAATTGCAAACCATTCCATTGAGGGGAAAATTCTGAAGATGTCTAAACAAAGAAGGGTAGTATACAAAGAATTTTCAGATGAGTTGAAGTTTAAAACACACATCAGAAATGGAAGAAGAGGGAAATTACTAAACAGGAATATAAATGAATAACCAGTAAGTGGAAGAAAACCAGAAAAGCAAAGGCTCTGAATGACCCAGGCTTGCTAGAGAAATTAAAAACAACAAAATGGTAAGGAAACAGAGTGCACTGCAGAAGGCTGCAGAGTGCACTGCACTAGCACTGCACTAGCCATCCATAGCTAAAACAGCACTGTAGGATGACTGCAAGGAAAAGTAACTTCAACAACATGAATGCTGCAAGACAACAGGCTGGTGTGATTAAAGTCCTACGTTTTCAAAGTTCAGGTAGATATCATATTGAAATGTTTTTCACATACTTTACACTATCCTTGAAAATTGATGTGGTGATGATATAAGTATGCATGCTTCAAATTACATCATAAACATTGAATATTGTGGCCTTTTTGTATGAGAAACCTGTTACATTTCTGAACTCCTTGAAAATGGTGTGGTGTGAAGTCAACATTAAAATCGGATATGAGGAATTATCTCAAGAATGTGCATAAGAACTTGCACTGTAATATTTTCAGATGTTATTTTGTGTGTTCTTTGCTCTCAGTATAAAAGAGTGTTGAGACAAAGGGCTCTTCCACACAGCCCTATATCCCCGAATATTAAGGCAGAAAATCCCACAATATCTGCTTTGAACTGGGTTATCTGCGTCCACACTACTATATATTACAGATAATGTGGGATTTTATTCAGCTATGTGGAAAAGGTCCAAGACAGCATTTGAACTCAAAAACCAGAACTGCTTCTTGAATACACATATGTAGAAAATGTCAGTGATACCAGTATTTCTATGCTCGAGTAAATTACTACATTAGCAAGAAACAAATGCATACATTTTTTTAAATACTAGACTGTTAAGTTGGAGTAAAATCTTCCCACTCCTTGGACACTAAATTGCATAATTTCAAACTGCTGCCCTTGGGGAGCAGTTTTCCAACATGATCCATTACACAATGTCTTTCTGGAGGACATCTGTCTTGGCTTCTGGCCCTGAAACAAATATGCTAACCTAAGCACATTTTGTATAGACTTTGAAGACCTGGGAGAAATCCAGAAAGCTTTTTGTTTTGTTTGGCTAGATATTGGATATCCCCAATTGGGAGGAAAGAATTCTATTTATCTGTTTTAGAACAAAAAAAAAAGGTTAGTGAAGGTTTACTTGCAAGAAAATTATATTGCAATACATGTAATTGTTAAGTTTGAGCTTCAGTGAAATTAAGCTATTGATCAAATGAAAGTCTTGAATCTGCTCATTCAATTGCAGTATATGATTCTAGC